AATGGTGTTTCTAAAAGAGGAGAATAGCGCCTTAACGCAAGCACTAAGTAATTTCATTTCTTTACCTCAAACCAAATAAAGAGGCATTAGACAAAATAAACTACAACAACAATACCACTTAGCCACACCAAGCTCACACAAACCTTGTCAAACTGGTGGCTGACCACCATTATAAGGATAGCCAGGGGGTGGCCAATTCCCATTTTGTTTCTGCCTAAACCCCCACATACAATCTGCCAAGAACCCAGGATCATCAGTGGTGCCCACATGAATGGTGTAGATGTCCTTATTAGGTAGCCTCCTAATCATTTTGAACACATCACCATCATCTTCTAAATCCCTATATTTCCCTTTATAAATGTACTGGAATTTGGGAAATAAGATATCTATAGATCCTTCTACTGGACCATCCATTTCACGCAAACGGTCTTCCCACTCTAGGCATTTATCCATCAAGTTGTCTTTACCTATTTCTACTTCAATGTCAATAACTACACTCAAGAACTTATATCTGAAAACCACCCTATTCTCAGCCATTCTGCAAATAAAATTGAAAAAAATATGCAACAAAAAACCCCAATTTCAGAAATATTACAAACATGCAAAATTAATTTCAATAAAACAACAGTTCCCAAAATTAATCCAATTTAAGAACCCTAACTTTTCTACAGCATCAAAAAACAAATTACAAGAGCATTATTCAATTAATCACACAATTGGTAGTACAAACTACAATGTCAATAACATATGAACCACAAATACATCAAAATTCTACTCAAATCAACTACAAATATAGCAATTATATACAAAATTTGTCTAAACTGACCTCTTTTTTCCGCCAACCAGACCTTCACAAAATTCTTCTACAATCTTCGCACAACCTTCGCAATTCAGCAATTCACAACAACCCTAAGTGTAATTCAATTTGTCTCCCAGAATTTTAATGTTTTGATTTTTCAATTTAACCAGCAGCAAAATGGGAAAATAATGAACAAAATCGTTCTTTAAAAGGAGGGAGTTAACAAACTAGCCGTTATACTGGGACCTACTAACGGCAAAGTTGACAGAATGCTAACGGAGGTACTGATACCTATATTTTAGTCATTTTTGAGGTACTAATTTAAAATAAAATTTTAGATGGGTACCAAAATTCAATTACCCCCATTTTTGAGGTACCAAAATTCAAATTTTCCTAAAATTAAATAAACAACCTGGGCATCACCCGGGGCCACATAGATGACAAAATAGGTATTATTGTAACACATAGGATGTTAAGTAAGTGAATTTTAGATAGTTTTTAAGATAAAAATGTTGTGTATTGTTTTATTATCGATATACTTCTAATATTTTATATATACAAAATTAATTGCAACTTTTAATAAATATCTTATAACTCAGTACTATTTCCATCATAAAATTCATTTTAAAAAGTTCTTTAAAATGAGACTCATTTATAATATGCTTTAATAAAAAAAATAGAAAATCAGTTTAAATAAGTTTTAATCAGAATATATAATTTTAGTTTGTTAAAAATACTTTCAATTCATTAGAAACAATTTAAGTGCAATAAATAAATATCAAATTAATTAATAATAACATAAATATCTATTTACAAATAAAAGTATAAAATTACAATATAATATAAATATGCGATATGATATCATATATCTTAATATTTTACATCATCAAAAGTGGTTATTGGATTGTATTTAACATTAAGATAAAAGGTTTAGGACAATCCGAGAATCGACCGGGCACAAAACTAGCATATATATAAAGGAAAGTTTTTTCCCGAGTTTTTAGAGAGCCACAATGGATTTATTTTCTTAGGCGCAATGTAGGAATATAAATTTTACTAGTATCCAGTTAAATAATAGATTATTAATTTTTTGTTTAGAATTAAAATTTTCAAATGCCACGTAAGCAAATTTGGCGAATGAGATTTTTAAATTTAAATTAATTAAATAAAAAAAATTATCTTTTGATATTAGGAATTTTATCTAAGTATATAACAAGCAAATTTTAGCACATAAATAAAAAAAAAAAATTTAAATTCAAACAAACCATACATCGCTCGGATTTCATTTAGTTACATATATACACACAGTACACAAATTAAGCGTTATATATACTTCTTATATTGTTTTTTTTTTATGTTTGCTATAAGGGAAAAAAAAGTTACAACAACATGACACAGTCATCAACAAAAATAAAGAGCGTTTGTCAAAATAAAAATACAAAGAGCGAAAGATGGGTTAGAGCTAACCTTGGAGTCAGGCAAAGCTCTAGAACCTCCACGTTGGACACGAAGACTAAGCCTTGGTCACTGAATGAAGACCTACGCCGTGGTGTAGGTTAACCCGGCTCATTACTACTTCACCCGTATTGACAAGCATGGTGGTTCAAACCCAAATTAGAACTGCAAGTTCGAATTTATTGTGAAAAACCAAAACAAAAAGTTTACTAATATATTCTCTCGCATCTCCTCTTCCCTCCTCCTCTCTTCTAGGGTTTCTCTAAAATCTTGGCCATTTAGGCCAAAAATAGTCAAATTTTGAGGAAATTAGACTATTTCCGACCCTTTTCCCTTAATTTTCTTTAGTTTTGCAATTTAGGTTTCAATAAATCTACACTAGTACTGTAGATATTCGTCCGTCTCCCTATGGTGGAGTGTCTCTCTGTGGCGGAGTTGTTAGTTTAGTTGTTTGTTTATGTTTAGGGTTTATTTGTGTTAGGATTTGTAAAAAAGGTAATCATTTTTTGCCTTATTGTCAGTTTATTGGTAAAGATTTGTTCGGGATCGCAACGATTGTCAAGTTTTCAAGCGAATCAGATGAAAATCATCCTTACGGCTACAACAAATCGTTAGATCGTCTTTCCAAAAATGTTGTATATTCCAGCAATGTGTGCGAGAGTTGTACCAGAGTGCAAGATCTTTTCAACGATCGTAGCTTTGATTAAGGAAATCCTTGTTTGATTAGGGCCTGTTCTCATTGACTGAACTCAGCTGAACTGAACTGAATTTAACTGAACTGAATTGAACTGAACTGAACTGAAATGAATATTTTATAAGAGAAGGAAATTAGGAGCTGAACTGAACTGAATTTCAACGTAAGAGAACATGACCTTAATCTTATGTATTTGTTAATGTAGATTTCATTTATAGATGTCGTATGGATTTTTATGAATGAATTGATTTGTTTTTTTTTTTTTAAAAAAAAAAATCTATTGCAGTAGGGTTGATGATCATAAACCGCCTTATTGGTAGCACCTGCTTTGAGGTTCAGGCTATCCCTGTTAATGACGGCCTGCCGGTATCTTTCGCAACCTCCAAGTTAAATGCTCGGCAACTAAGGCTAAGGCCAAGGACAGACTAATGCACTATGGGCGGATCAACATTAGGACCAACATGATCCCTTACAAAAAACCGCCTCGGCCACGTACCCAAGATGATTGATGAACGAATTGAGGAGGAATATGATGATATGAATTTGATAAATAGGATTATTTTGGGTAATTTGTATTCAACTTAAGGTTTTTTAAAGTACGACTAACAATAAATTTTAACCGGCTATTGTTTTATGTTAATGTTGTATATTTGTCAAGTTTATCCTTTTAGAAGTTTTAGGCAAATTAGGTCTCCTTTGTATTGTATATATTGTCAAAAATATCAATACAAGGCCAAGCCGTTTTCTCCATTGTTCGGGCTTTTCACTTTCTTTCTTAAATTTTGCCTCAATAGTACTTGTCGCCATATACTTGTATCTTGTATAGTTGTATGTGATATGTAGCCTCAACTCTCAAGCTTTCATAACATAGCAAAGGATTATCAATATGAATGAATAATTATATATTATCTTCTAAACCTTTAAAAACATTATAAAAAAAATAAAAATAAAAATAAAAAAAAACATTATTCACCAAATTAATGTTTCCGTAACAAATAAAAAGCAAACTGGACCAACTATTGTGCACAAGCTTTTCACACAATAAACCCAATTTTTCTATTTTAATTACTCCCTTCGTCCCTTTTTTACATTCCTGTTTGTAAAATTACACAGAAATTAAGGAACTAAGAATAAAACAAATAATAATAAAACAAAACACAATGAGAAGTACAAAACATTAAATGATGTCATTGAGAAAAAAAAATAGATTTATATTTAATGATGTCATGTCATCAATCCTTTGCCAAAAAAAAAAAAAACCAATAACATGCTCCCATTGGAAAATTAAGAACCAATCATATTCATTTAAATTTAGGAGTGAGAATATGAAAGTAAGAGTGAGAAAATAAGAGTGAGCATTAATTACATAACAGAAAAGAGGGATAATTGGGATATTTGAAAAAAAATACTTACTAAAAAAGGAAAGGAGGAATGTAATTTTAGAATAACCAAAAAAGGAAAGCATGAATATAAAAAAAGGACGAAATGAGTAGTAAAATAAGTTCAATAATTTTTTTAAAATAAAAAAATAAAGATTTAAATAAATAAATAAATACGAAGTAATAAATAAATAAATAAAAACACACATGTAGAACCTAACTACGGAGTACTCCGTATTACGTACTCTCTCCGTTTTTAAATTCTTGCTCCACTTTTCATTTGCGGCCGTTTTAAATAATTGCTCCATTTTCTTATTTGAAAAGCTTTAACAATATTTAATTAATTTCTCGCACCAAGTGGTCCCAACATATATTCTCTCCCCTACTTTTGCAGTTTTGCTTTTTATAATTTTTTATTCTTCCACCAAACCCACTACTTTTATATTTTATCACTTTCTCTAGTTTTTCTTAAAACTCCGCACATGAAAAATTAGAACAAATATTTAAAAACGGATGGAGTATTATATAATACTGATAGAGTATAAAACAAAAGATTGAGTTGGTCCTCTAACAAATACGGACTTTGATCTTGATTAAAATATATTGAACCGTCCAAGAAGTTTCTATCGTGTCACTTTCATAGTTTCATCTTCATTAGTAAGGAAATGATGAGGATTGACTTCGAGTCGTCTTTTTTTATTCTTACCCACGCTATATTTCTGTAATATTTCCCTATTTTTCTCACTCTATATAAACTCATTAAACACCGTTGTCATCATCATTCATTCTACCAATTAATCCCAATTAATTATTACAATTTCACAAAATCTGCAAAATTTAAGTCTGAAATGGCTGATTCTTATGATTTGAGCGCTCTTCTTTCTACAGAGGAGAGAGATTTTCTCATTCGCAACAATGGTGACCAGGTTATCTCCTTTCTCTCTTACCTTTTTTTTTTTTTTTTTTTTTTTTGATACTTTTAACGATTATAATTTGTAAAGTTATTAACTTTAGCTTACTTTATGATATGGGTATTATGAAATTTCGCCATTCTATTAGCTTTAAACTTTTTAGTTGCTTTTGTAAGGGGAAGGTTCATTTATTCCAAATTTTTGTAATTTATTGATCTTTTTGTTAAAATTAATTTTGCATTTTCATTCTATTAATTTTTTATTGGTAGGAAGATTAATTATCATCCTATTTCAGGGGTTTAATTTAAGTAATACATAAATTTTTTGGGGTATTTGTATCTTTTGATGATCAGTAGGGTTTTTCATCAACCCTGTTCTGGGGTTTATGTACATTAGATCAATTTATTTTCAATGTTAGCAAATCTAAATGTTTCTGATAAAAATGTTATGTTTATGTTTTTCATGTTTGATTGCCTGAAGGGGGTTGATTTGATTGTTTATGGATGTTGTTATGCTTTGGGATGGTCGACTTTTTGGGGTTTATGTAAATAAGGTCAATTTAATTTCAATGTTAGCCAATGTGTAGAGCATAATGTTATGTTTGTATTTCATGATACGATTGCCTGAAGGTGATTAGTTTGATTGATTATTGATGTTGTTATGATTTTGGGATGGTTGACTTTGAATTGAAGCAAGTATTTTTGGTATTGTGTTTTAAAGTTTTGATGATTATGTCCTCTTTTGTTGGATTGCTAAAGTTGGTCAGTTAAAATGTTTATGGGTGTCAATTTAATTGTTTATGGATAATATGATATGATTTTGATTTGTTAAGTTTATGCTTAAGTGGGCATGTGTTCTATTGTTGGATTTGAAGTTCCGACAATCGAATTTTGATGTGATATTTGGTGGTCATTGTAGGTCAAAATCAATGATCTGAGTGGAAAGACTGTGGGTCTGTATTTCTCTGCATCATGGTGCCCACCTTGCCGTGGTTTCACCCCTACTTTGATTGAAACATACAAAGAACTCTCTGACAAGGGGGACTTTGAAATCGTCTTCGTTTCATCGGATAGAGATGACGAATCCTTTCAGGGTTACTTCTCTAAGATGCCATGGCTTGCTGTTCCTATTTCTGATAAAGACACAAAAAAGAGCTTGGGGGAAAAGTTCAGTGTGATGGGAATCCCTCATCTTGTGATCCTTGATAAAGATGGGAAAGTCTCAACCAGTGAAGGGGTGGAATTGGTCATGGAAAATGGTGCCCAAGCATACCCGTTTACGCCGGAAAGAATCAATCAGTTGAAAGAGGAGGAAGAGGCTGCAAAGAGAAACCAAAACTTGAAAACACTTTTGGAAAATGGATCCCGAGATTATGTGATTTCAAGTGATGAAAAGAAGGTATGATTCATTTTATCCACCTGGTTGTTGAATTTAGTTTCTTGGTTTCTTATGTTGTTGAAGACCTTTGACAATGTTAGGAGTATTTGTTTTAGAGTCTAGGTTTTGGAACTTGGAAAGTATAGAACGAATAGAAGGAATTTAGTTCTCAAATCTACTCCATATATCAAATCTCCTATGGGCTATGGCAATATAATTCATAAACTATGGTATAAATGTCCTTTGAATTGGATTTTTAAAGGGTTTTAGATAAACTAAGATGTTTGATGCTTTGTACTGAAGTTGATGTACATGCTTACATACCAAGTGAATTTGGAAGTTTAGGAAAAGATATGATTGAAATCCTTTTGTTACATGAGAGTGCGAGTCACATACTTTTGTTTCTGGAAGTCAGAAAATGTTCAGATTTGTTTCACATTATCTTAAGTTACTGTAAATTTTGGTATATATACTCTGTTTGTTACCTTTCCTAGATATTCATTTGCTTTGCTTAAATTAATTTTGATTTCCCATCAGGTCTCTGTGAGTGAGCTTGAAGGGAAAATGGTTGGCCTCTATTTCTGTGTAGGCTCCTATAAGCCCTGCACTGACTTCACCAAGAAGTTGGCGGAGGTTCACAAGGAACTCAAGGAGAAAGGCGAGAACTTTGACATTGTATTAATCTATTTGGATGATGATGATGAAGACGGTTTTAAGGAAGCGCTGGCACAACTGCCATGTTTTGCCTTGCCCTTCAAGGATAAGAAGATTGAAAAGCTTGCTCGTTACTTTGAACTGGCATCCATTCCCAGAATGGTCATAATTGGGCCAGATGGAAAAACTCTAAATCCAAATGTTTCAGAACTGATAGATGAGCATGGTGCTGCAGCCTACCCTTTTACTCCAGAGAAGCTGGCTGAGCTTGCTGAGATTGAGAAAGGCAAACTTTTGTCGCAGACACTTGAATCAATTCTGGTTTCAGGAGAAAAGGACTATGTCATTGACAAAAGCGGTTCTAAGGTAAGGTTTCCCTTATTATTAATTTTTTTTTTTTTTTTTTTTTTTGCGTAAAGGGATCATAATTGGAAGGTTGCAAATGTACTTCAATTTTCTGCTATTCACTTCCGTAGTTAAAGTTTTGTTTTTCTTATTGTTGCTCAGGTGCCTGTATCTCAGCTTGTTGGGAAATATGTTCTTATTTATTTTTCCGCACACTGGTGCCCTCCATGCCGAGCTTTTACACCAAAGCTTATCGAAATATATCATGAAATAAAGGCAAAGGAGAATGCATTTGAGATCATATTTGTCTCCAGTGATCGTGACCAGTCCTCATTTGACGAGTACTATGCAGACATGCCTTGGTTGGCCCTCCCATTTGGTGATGAGAGGAAGACTTCCCTATCACGTAAGTTCAAAGTGCGAGGTATCCCATGTCTTGTGGCAATTGGACCAGAAGGTAGGACAATTACTACTGAAGCCAGACAGCTTGTAGGAGCTCATGGGGCAGATGCATTCCCATTCACTGAGGATCACATAAAGAATTTAAAAGAGAAAATTGAGGAGATGGCAAAGGGGTGGCCTGAGACACTGAAACACGAGCTTCATGAACACATGCTGGTGAAGACTCGTCGAGATGGTTATTATTGTGATGGATGTAATGATCAAGGGCATAGTTGGTCTTTCAACTGCAAGGAGTGTGACTTTGATCTCGATCCCAAATGTGCCTTGAAGAACGAGAAAACTGCAGAAGAGGGTGACGAGGGCAAGTTAGAGACCAAGGAAGGATATGTCTGTGAAGGTGATGTTTGTCGTAAAATCTAGATATGCACCTCTTTGGCGAGCCTAATGAGGGTCTTTGGATTTAAGGCTGTTTTCTTGTGTGTGATTTGTAACTAATGATGCTTTATGAATAAGGTTATTTGCAAGGAGTGCATTAGCTGGTTGTGTTGAGATTTCCTTCTTGATCTGTAAATTGTACTTTCAACATACTTTCATTGAAAGTAGTCAATGTGAGTTATGATTGACTATTATGAATGAGATGGATCCCAGTATTTTAACAAACTGTGACATTTTCATTTCTTACCCTGCAATTCTAAGATAGTGGATATTGAGTTACCCAATATTATGTCATTGCTTAGGGCCTCTTCTGATTTACTGAGTTGAATTGAATTGATTGGAGTTGAATTGAACTGAACTGAATATTTAATGAGAGAAGAAAATTAAGAACTGAACTGAATTGATTGGAGCTGAACTGAATTAAATTAAACTGAAAATAAGCTGAAGAGAACAGACCCTTGATTTAAAGTAAATGATACATTTTGTTTCAAAAAACGAAGTAAATGATGATACCTAAGTTGAATTATTTAAAATCACCATTAGCTCACCAAGTTACCTTAGATCCTAGAGGGCTAGGGCATATGAGGTTCCCTAGCATGATGCGAGCCGGCTTTACTGATAGAGTATGAAAATCAGCACAAGGCTACTATAGGCATGGTTTATTTGAGCACAAGACTCACTATCCCTGACGTGTAAGCTTGGCCCTTCCCCCTGACTAGTGTCCGAATCTAATCTTTTCTGTAACTAAGTTTTATGTAATTGATGATAAGATTAGTAATTACAGAGTAAATTTTTTTATTTATTTATTTTTATTTTTTTATACAGGTACTTGTTTGTAAAATAACTGTTGAAATCAATAACAAACAAAAAGATTAGAACTTTCCCGAGTTGAAGATCCCAAACTCAAGTCGCGCCGTGGAACAAAATCCACTGCCTTAGAAGTGAAATACGCCACCACCGGTACAAGTTTCCTAGTGACGCACACCCCCAAATTTAACGCAACTCTCTCCGTAATCCGTGCACCCGAACTCGAAGAGTGGAATTGCTCGAGAACTGTTCAGATCTCAAAGGGTAGGTTTTGTGTTTTCGGCTTGAAAAGTGAACGAATTCTTATGAAGAGACAAGTCTCGTATTTATATGAGTACCGGAAAAAGGAGACACGTAAAGCAAACCGACCTAGGAAAAAGGCGGGCCCGATCAGGCAAGAAACCGCCCGATCGGGCGCGAGATGCAGTTTTTCCAGACCTGGTGTCGCGCCCGGTCGGGCTATCTAGAAAACCCATCCCGGGCGAGCCATCGGGCGAAGACGCCCGATCGGGCTCATCAAAAACTCGAGTCCGTCGCCCGGTCGGGTAAGGGCCGCCCGATCGGGCGCGAGAGTTCTCCTATTTTCCTTAGCCACCTCCGCCCGGTCGGGCGAACCACCGCCCGATCGGGCGTGAGAATCCGTTTGCATTATTGTAGGGAATAATTTCAAGTTTTAATCCCACTAGCTTGAACCCCACTGTGATCATACACTAAAGTACGGTGGCGTCCAAAAGGGAAGAAGATAGAGCAAAAGAGTCGCCAACAAGTTTTTTTAGGAACTTGTAAACCGTTCACGAGGTGAAGGTTACACCCCTTAACGATCCATGAGATCGTCAGCTCCATAAGGTCTAGAACCAAATAAGGGTTCGGGGATGAAGGTACAAATCCAACCTAAAAGAGATTGAACCTGCCCTAATAATAAGCCTCTACTTTATTCTGATCGTATTCATGTGCGCTTTTTAATTAACATGCAATCAATAGGATTAACCCTAAACATGTTTATCTATGTTGGTTGAATTTAATGCACAAATAAACTATTATTGGCGATCACTTGAATTTATAATCACATTAACCCTAACAAGATTATTAATTATCTTATTAAGCGTGATTACAAGTACCAATTCCCTTTAAACATGCATAAAAAGGCGATCAAGCAATAACAATGAAATAATCATGAATAATAATTATAAATAAAATAATCATCATCAAAATAATAATAATAACAATATTCATGATCATCATAAATTATAACAATTATAATCATAATCATGTTCATGTTAAAGCATAATAAAAATAGCAAGATCCTAGGCATGATACTAACAAGATTAATAACAAACCCTAGCATGTCACTAAGAAATAAAAATCAAATCTTTAACCCTAACATGATACTAACAATCATAAATATTAGGAAGAACATAAAGGGCATCATAGCAATCATATTTAATATTAAAATTACCCTAGACATGATACTAGGAATATCATAATAATAATGTAAACATGATTTCTACATCATAACATCAATAAATCAATTAAAGCACTTACTTTGATACTTCGTACCTCTTTCTAATAACAAAATACACACGTTAGTAACTTCAAGGAAAATAATAATCAAAACAATTAAATTAAATAATTGAAATAGAGATTTGGGACCAAACCCTCAGAAATTAAACCTTTCACGTGTAGGGCGAAGGCAACTTCGAATATGGTTAGGTGTTTCTAGATCTTGTTAATGCGGAATTTTGTATTTGAAAAGCAAGGTTTAGAACAGAGAGAGAAAGAAAGAATGATTAAGAGAATGCTAATTAAAACTGATTGTAGGTGATAACTCGTGAGAATTGGTGAATGATGAATGTAGATGAATGAAAACGGAGTTTTTAATACGTTATTTATAGAGAAAATCAGCCACAAAGATAAAATAAACAAAACAGAGTCTGACGCACAAAAAAACAGAGTTGGCGCAAACCCTGGCTAACTGGCGCTAGGCACCAATGGCTAGCGCCAGGCGCTAGGCCTGGTTCCAGGCGCCAAAGCCTGGGTTCAGGCGCCAAGCCTGGTTTTAACGCGTTTTTGAAAATTAGATAAATTTGCCGTACTGGAGGATAAAATCATATATTTTCCTCGAAAATACTATTTGATTTTGATTAAAATTCTGAAAAGTCAACAAAAAGTCAATTTATCAATGCTAATTGAATTAGGAATGAAAAGAACCTTCTAGAAGAATCTAGAAGACTAAAACCATTCCTAATTGCATTAGGAATTATAAATCATATTAGGTCCTCCTCTAGATCATTGGGCCGTATATAAAGCACAAACCGGGCCCAGTTTAGTAAATTGGCCATAACTTCCTCAATATTCATCGGAATTGGGCTTATAATATATCGTTGGAAAGGTCTTTTCAAGCCCCATCCAACTACATTACTATTGGACCCATATCATGGACCCACCAAACTTGATTGGCTGTTTTCTTAAAATAAGTTTTCAAAAACAGAGAGAAGAGAAAAGAACTTAAAACTTTCCGCAACACTAGACTTTCCACACTTTCACTTCATTCGATTATGATTCGACGTGAAAGGTACTCATCACCGGGTTTGGTTTTGGGGAGACACAAATGTGTGTCTACAGAAGCCCCCACTTTGACTGAGTTTGGAGAAACGCAAGTTTCGAAAACAAAAGTCAAAGTATCGATAGGGACGGAGAATGATTCAGAACGTTCTGCGATCCTAAATCACTCTTATAACGCCGATACCTGCAAACTAGCGTTAGTTAAACAGATAAAAGAGTTAAGAAACGCGTATCTTGCACCGTCGAGCACACGTCTCTGAAAGTAACCGAGTGTTGCTGCCGCTTTACTGTTGTTTTGATGACCTCCTGCAAGCTAGAGAATGTCATCCCGCTTGAAAACCGCTACGCCCGTAACTGCTTCCAAATTAGAAGATTGCTCCGCTTGAAACGATCCTCCTCCGCATTGATAATATTCCACGTCCAAGGGAATACTATCGAAGATTGCTTCTCTTGAAACAAATCCTCATCCGCATTGATAATATTCCACGTCCAAGGGAATACTATCGAAGATTATTTCTCTTGAAATAATCTCCATCCGCATTATGACCATCTTCCATGCCTAAGGGAACATGATCGAAGACAACTTCGCCTGAAATTACCTCCAGTTGTTTGTGACAACTCTCCGCAAGCTAGGGAATGTCGTCGAAGATATCCTTACTTGAAGTCAACCTCATTTGATGCGATAATTTTCCAAAGGAAATTACCAAAGACCCACGCCTGTCGATCTTTAAAAGTTCGCCTGAACTTTGCTTCCGCTATGCCTGTATGTTGGCGCTTCCGTTGCTTGGAACCTGTACGTCGGTGCCTTTTTTGCTTTTGAATCTATATGCTGGTGCTTTTTGCTAATGAGCCAATGCTTAGGCGCTTTAAGCTAAGTGAGACGATCTTTTATCAGGTCGATCACTTTATGTAATCAAGCCGATTACTAAATCATGTCAAATTGCTTAGAGGAGCTAACTGGCATAACAAGGAACCTAAAAATATGTTGCAGAAAGATAGAACAACCTCACCAAGTGGCTGGGTGCTCTGGCGTCACTAAAAAGCTATCAGCGCCACTTAATTAGTCTTAGCGCCAGGCGCCAAGTCTAACTTTTGACGCCAATGCATAGGGCTTGGCGCCAGCACGGGGATTTCCTTAAATACCACTTTCCTCTTCATTTCACTGCTTTGCTCGTCGCGAAACTGCTCGAAAAAACCCAAAAGCTTCAATTGCTCGGTTCTTTCTCGTTTCTCAACCGAATTCACTCAAATTTGTTGCAAATTAAAGCTCTTTTCATCTATTTTCCCGATCTATGTAAGTTTTCTTCAAACTCACATCAGTTTTTATGAATTTTTGGCATGTTTATTCACGAATTTCATGTAAATTCGAAATTTATAATGCTCAATTTACTTTGTTTGTCAAGTTTTATGCCATGAAATTGCTTGATTATGTTCATATATTTCCTTGGGAGTAATTTGAGACTTGTTTGACTCAATTCGGTGAAGAAATGAGCAATTTTCCATTGTTGGACCTCCTAAGGTCGTGAAGAACAATGTGGCTTATTCTTGATGTTTTTGCTAGCAATTCTTGTCCAATTTGCCACAATAATTACTATAGTGTTGCAATAAATTGTATGATTGCTTGAAAAATGTCGTTATACTCAATTTGAATTTGTGCTCTATTTTAGTACTACGTACTCTGTTTTCCGCGAACATAGTATCATGCAGCTAGGCGAACCTTAGATACTATAGAACCTTAATTTATGATGATTTTGCACAATGTAGCATGGCTAGACAGCGAGGCTCGGGTTCACAGTCCCGAAACACTCGACGGGAGCATGAGCTCGTAGAGGATGACGTCACACCTTCCACTTCGCTTAG